GTGTGACATCTGCTTGAAGCTCCCAAACCCTCCACCCCTTCCTCTGTACCCACCTGTCTCTCATCCCCCAGAGCTGAGGTTTAGGCTCTGTTTCTTTAATCAGTAGGGTTGTCGAAGCTTAACTTCCTTGCTCTCTCTTTCTATTTGTGGTAGATCTGAGCTCTAAGAAATAGAAAAAAAAAAAAAAGATAATTTGAGCTCAATAAGACAGGTTTACTGGGAAGGGGCAATCTAATTTATTATCACTGTTGTGAATAACAGTGGTCAAAATTTGAGTGAAGACTCTGTAATAAGTTTTTTACATGGATGTCTTCGGTTCATTTTCACATAAAACTGAGAAAGTAATTTTGTTATAATTTTCCCCATCCTACTAATTACAAAAATTAGACTTTTGTAATGTTCTTAAAGATTTGACAACTCAAACTAGGTCACATAGGAACAAAAAGAAATTTTTTAATTGGCATTAAAAAATTCTTAGCAAAGCTTTGTTCTCCCAAAGAGAAGGTTAACCACTCTCTTTATATTTCTTTTACTTTTTAATTTTTAAATTCCTTATTTAAATTCAATTTAAATTCAATTTAGTTAATAACATATACTATATTATTGGTTTGGGGGGTAGAATTTAGTGATTCATCGGTTGCATATAATACCCAGTGCTCATCACATCATGTGTGCTCCTTGATGCCCATCCCTCAGTTATCCCATACTCCCACTCACCTCCCCTCTAGCAACCCTCAGTTTGTTTCCTAGAGTTCAATGTCTCTTATGCTTTACTTCCCTCTCAATTTTCATCTTATTTTATTTGTGATTTATCTGTGATTTCCTGACTTGTTAATTTTAGCCGTTCTGACTGGTGTGAGGTGTATCTCTTTGTGGTTTTGATTTGGATTTCCCTGATGCTGAGTGATATTGAGCATTTTTTCATGTGTCTGTTGGCCATTTGTATGTCTTCTTTGGAGAACTGTCCGTTGATGTCTACTGCCCATTTCTTAACTGGATTTTTTATTATTTTGAGTGTTGAGTTTGATAAGTTCTTTATAGATTTTAGATACTAGGCCTTTATCTGATATGTTGTTTGCAAATATCTTCTCCCATTCCATAGTTTGCCTTTTAGTTTTGTTGACTATTTCCTTTGCTGTACAAAACCCTTTTATATTGATGAAGTCCCAATAGTTGGTTTTTGGTTTTGTTTTAGCCAAGTGATTTGTTCTGCAACTTTGTTTTCCATTGATGGTGGGGAACAGGAGTTAATAAGCTGTTGCCCCCAGGTCAAATTCAGACAGCTACCAAACAATGTAGAGTCTGCAGCCTAAGAATGACTTTTACATTTTTAAATGGCCGGGGGTGGTGGTGGTAGACAATATTATGTGGCACCTGAAAATTATATGAAGGTCAAATTTTAGTGTCCATAAATGAAGGTTTTGGTAGGTGCTATTTGACGAACATGGCCACACTCGCTTATGTACATGTTGTCTTTGGCTGCTTCTGTGCTACAATGGCAGGATTGAGTATCAGCTACACAGAATCACAAAGCCTAAAATATTTATCATCTGGCTCTTTACATAAACAAACTTGCCAATCCCTTTTATAGAATAAACCAGCCCTACTACCATTCACATTATGCCAAATTCTAAACTTCTGAGTCTAAAAATAAATGCTTTTCTCTAGTTTAAATAGAAGACAATTTCAGAGTGCCTGGCTGGCTCTTTCAGTGGAGTATGACTCTTGATCTCGCTGGGGTTGTGAGTTTGAGCCCCACGTTGGTTGTAGAGATTACTTAAAAAGAAAAAGACAATTTTATTTCTATTCTACTATTTCTATTTCAAAACTTTACAGAAAAATTGGGCACAATTATCTAGATAAAACTCATTTAGTATCAGTAGCATAAATTATATAAAATTTGGAATCTCAAGGAAAATAAACATCTGCCTGCACTTTTGTTTACACGAGTCACCTAACAAATGATTTTCCTTTATCATAACCATAGACATCAGCTCAGAACCCAGGAAACATTTGGCTAATAGAAGGAAACTGGATGTGGGCTCCGGACTCTATCCTGTCATGCCATTAAGGTGAATTCACAGTGAATGTGAGCACTCTGCCATCTGCTTTGGAAAGCCCCCCTTTTGGCCTTAGCCCTATATAGCACTGGTTCTTGGGGAGCAGGAATGGCCCTTCCTATCAAGACTGGCTTCATGAGCATGTAACTTATGCAGTCAGCCGGGCCCATGCTTGGTTTAAGCTTTGCTGTCGCCTCTTGAAATTCTTCAATGACTTTTGAACAGGAAATCCTATATTTTTGTTTTATAGTAGGCACCACAGATTATGTAGCTGGTCCTGCTTCCAATAGATGGCTAAATATGAACAACTGCATTTCAGGGAATGTGAAAGAAAGTTCTAGTGCAACAAATTGTTTGTCCATACCCACATATACCATGGAGGAAAATGTAGGGCAGGATCCTGTAGACCAGATTTTGCTTTGTGTCACTTACAAACAATGTGAGTTAGAGATAGATTCTTAACTCCTCTGAGTCTCTTTGTTTTCAGCTGCAAAATGGGCTGATAATATTTTTTCTTTCTCAGGGAGCTGTTATGAGGATCAAAGGAAGCAATGTAGGTAAAAGCATGCACTTAGTAAACTGTGAAGCCTTTGTAGAAATATAAAGCTTTTCCTTATGTGAGGATAGATGGAGGAGATGCCACAGGAAGGGGAAGATTCTAGGAAGTCCCCTATGGAGCTCAGAGCTCACTTTATCACTGTTCTGCTGCTCCTTAAAGCAATCTCATACTTGCAGCCAAGAAATTTCAAAAAACAAAGTCATGCTTATGTGACTGTCTTCCTTAAATCCCATCAGTGGATCCTCTCTGCTCTTAGGATAGAGCAGGGATCTTATAACAGTGACTTTGGGCCCTGAAATACAGGTCTCTTTATGCTAAAAAGGACCCCAAACAAAGAATAACCTGAATAGATCGTTTGTGAAAGTGACCAAAGAAGGGCCTGGGTCACAGATATTCTCTCTAAAACAAATGGATGGTCCAAGTACATTGTTTACTTTGCCTTTGCGACCCAGGACTGAGCACCTTGAAGGAAGGAGCCAGGTCTTATTCTTTTCCAGGACCTAGAGCAATACCTGATCTGGAGTATATCTAAGAGAAATTAAATGCTAGACTTGGAGACAAGAAGCTTGGGAGTCATATCTTTCCCTGCCACCTATTAGGGCTGTGACCTTGGGCAAGTCAGTGAGCCTCCATTTCTTCTCATAGTTGCTGTGAGGATTAAATAAGGCAGGGCATAGAAGTGTCTGCTCCAGTGCCCCACACAAGGTAAGAAGCCAGGATGTAATAGGTGCTATTCGACGAATTATAGGATCTAGAGTTGAGTGTATCAGTAGGAGTTGCCTTACTAAAACAGTTTCTATTTTTAGAACCCTTATATTGTATAGGGAATCATCATTTCATCTACAAATAATACATAGATAGACTGAATGTAGTCAAGATAATTATTGTTAACTTTCTTTATGACCAGACTTGAAACTACTAAAGGTAATTCAATTTCAGATTCTGATTTTGGTTGTTTTATACCTCTTTTTTTGCACCTCTTACTTGTGGATAGTTTCTAATGAATGTTTGCAAAAAGTAACTGCAAATCACCTACTTTTAAAAACCCCAAGGCCTCCTTTTTCAACTTACCCTTCCATATCTCAGTTCAATTCCCTTTGTTTCACACTCTTAGTGTCTCAGGAGGTTATAGGGCTGTTTGTAATGGTCTTTTTTTTCCCCCAAAAGGACAATCCCTGAATAAAATGTGGAACACTGCTTAATATTTCTGAACACAACCTCCAAGTCCTCTTTGAGAACACCCCCTGATCTCAGTAAGCCGTTTCTTTCCAGAATCCCTCATGGTAGCCCCATCTAATCATTTTGGAAACATGAATCCTTTAATCTATTCAAAGCAATTCTATACCCTCCCCAAGAAAATACCTGCAAAATTTTGAACACATTGTTTTTCCCAGAGAGTTTATAAGCTCCATGAAGTCCACCCATGATAGCCTTAAAGATGAGTGGTCTCAGGGCACATGGGTGGTTCAATCAGTTAAATGACTGACTCTGAGTTTCAACTCAAGTTAATCTCAGGGTTGTGAGATAGAGCCCCATATCAGTCTCCAAGTTTAGACAGAGTCTGCTTGGGACTTTCTCTCCCTCTTTCCTTCTGCCCCTTCCCTCTGCTCTCTCTCTAAAATAAACAAATCTTTAAATGCCGAAGTTATTTCTGCCTTTTAAAAAGAAGATGAGTGGTCTCAGTTTGACCTAGATATTCATTACTAGTAAAAGCTTAATGTATACCCCTCCAACCTCTCCACCTTCCAGATGTATATATATTTTAACAGGGAGAAACTTGGCCTAACTGAAGGGACTCTGGAGTGGTGGAATTTGAATTTTAGGCTCTAGCAACAAGTATGCAGTAGAGAAATTTGGGACCAGGAGTAAACTATTGCTTATTATTTATTTATTGTGTGGTATGTTGACTTTTTTGAACTTTTCAGACACAATTATGGCTCCATACCAATACACCCCCAAAACCCCATATCAAAGATCAAAGAGCTGGAATCTTGCCTAAACAAAGTTTTTTTTTTTTTTAATGATGAGTTTTAGGACAGTGTGTGGACTTCTCACATTCCTGTAAGCATCAGAGATTAGTTGTTGGAGATGAGGCAGTGCTGCTTATTTTATTTTTATTAAGATTTTATTTATTTATTCATGAGAGACACACAGAGAGAGGCAGAGACACAGGCAGAGACAGAAGCAGAGACAGAAGCAGGCTCCATGCAGGGAGCCTGATGTGGGACTCGATCCCGGGTCTCCAGGATCACACCCTGGACTGAAGACAGCGCTAAACTGCTGAGCCACCGGGACTGCCCCTTGCCTAAACGAAGTTTGTAAACTAGGATCGTTAACATAAAAAAAGATTGCCCAAAGGTTAATACACTGCTGTTTTACAGGATGAAAACTCATATTATATCAGTGAAGTGGGAGCCTATTTGACGGTCTCAAATCCAGGTAAGTAGTTAGAGAAGGCCGTTCCACTAGCAGTGATGCTGTGTTTCAGGTTAGCTCATTTCACACCCCATTGAATTTGCTAATCTTTGATGCTGCTTTGGAGAGACAGACTGAGAAAGTAACCAGGAAAACATCTTTGTTTGCTTCAGTTTGCTCATCTGCTCATGAAGGAGGCTGGAGTATATTATGTCAGGGATCATTATCAGCAACTGTAAGGAGTTTAGTGACTTTTGGGCAGATTTGCTATTGATGGTGCAATTTATTCTAGACTCTTGGAATCATGCGTTCATGCTACAAAAAAAACCTCCAAAAAACAAACAAACAAACAAACAAACAAAAAAAAACAACTGTAGTTAGTGCCAGCTAGGTGCCAAGCCCTGTAATTGAAATCCTATTATCCAAATGTATAGTTCCTGCTGTCATGGAGCTTACATTCTAGAAGTGGGGAGAGGACCATAAACAGACACATTAAATTATAATAGTTAAGTAGTGTTAAGTTCTATGAGCAAACACAAGCAGGTCCTGGGGGAGAGGATTGGAAAGATATTCTTGGTAGGACCTTTGGGAAGCCCTCAGGAGAGGAAAGTATCTCTAAAGAGGGGAAGTTTGAGTAGAAAGGTATCCCCATTTGGGGGCTGGAGTAGCCTTTTTTTCAGGTGGAGGAGCCTTTTTTTCAGTTGGCAGGAACAACAGATACACAAATCCTTAGAAATGAACTTGCTCATCTGTTCAGGGAGTGGCAAGTACTGTGTGTGCCCAAGAGAGTGAAGAAAGCAGCAGATAAGGTCTGAGGGTCATCCAGGCCAGACCATGTAGGGCTTGTGGGTAAGGTAAGGTGAGAACTTTGGATTTTAGTTTAAAGTGTGAAAGGATGCCATAGGAGGGTTTGGTGTAGGGAAATGGTATATCAAATTTACATTTATAAAAATTCAGTTTGGTTGCTATATAGAGAATTAGCCACAGTAGGGCCAGTCGAGAGAACTCCTCTAAGGTTCCTGTCTAGGAAAGTAATGCTCCCAGTCAATTCAGACGAGTTTCTCAAGGGTTCAAATGTTTCTCTGGAAAGCCCAGACTTGGATAACAAACCATTGCTGGCACCTACTCTGTGCCAGGTACCACACATGCCTTTTTTCTCCTTTTTAAAATTCTGTCTTTTGACTAGCTTAAGCTTATCTTATTAAGGAACCTATACTAAAGAAACTTGCCAAGAGATGAAAATGTGGAGAAATGTCTATTTAAAATATAAGATATATTTTATTGATGCTGTTCAAGAGGATGTTGTCAATGATTATTGGTTAAAAGTAAGTAAGATGTCAAGTTGACGACTCATTTTCATATATAGTACCTCACTTAGACAAGGGTGCTCATATAGGCTGGGGAATACATATTGTGAATTCTAACATAAATTAGCAAATGATATCACAAAGCATGGACTAAATTTTAACCAGCAATAGAGTAGTAATGTCTCAAGAAACAGGAGAAGGGAAAGTCAGACCAGAAGCTAGGCTAGAGGCTGACAAAGGGGATAGAACAACAACTCAACAATTCCAGACTCAGCAGTAGTAGCAGGAGCTGTAGAAATCACAATAATGATAATTTACACATCAGTGGTGGTGGTAGCGGTAATTACAGAGGTAATGATTGTTGTAATGTTAGTGGGAGTCATAGTAGTAGACTACCCTGGATATAAGACATGATGTACACTTGACGGGATGAGCACTGGGAGTTATTCTGTATGTTGGTAAATTGAACACCAATAAAAATTAATTTATAAAAAAAAAAGACATGATGTAGTAGTGCACGTGGATAATGGAGTGCATCATGAGGGATTTTTGCATGTATATATGCAAGAATCTACAGTACATAGTACAGTAATGGTCAGGAGACACAATAGGATAGTGGTCAAGACAGCAGACTGTAGAATCAGACTACTTGAATCCAAATATCACTTACTAGCTGTGCTGTAGGATCTTAGGCAAATGTTTTCAGTTCTCCAACTCTCCATTTCCTTGTCTGTAAAATGGAGACAGTAGAATCGATCTCAAAAGATTGTATGAGAATTAGGACAGTGCATGCAGAGTATTTGCATGGCCCCCTCTGCATAGCAAGCAGACCCTTGATATGGAAGGCTACATTAGACACAGGCAAACACACCCACAGAGGCAGGAAAGGAGGGAGACTTTCAAGTTCCCTCATTAGCAGCCCGTGGGTATTCCTCGCAGGCACAACTTTGGTGAATTCACTAAGGTCCATAGTCTGGTCCTCAACTGCGGGGGCTGTCAGCACCGCCTTATGTATTGTCTGTGTCTTCAAGAAGACATTTAAACCAAGGTCATGAAACTAATGTATAAAATCAAAATGCAAATATGTGCATTTATAATGGAACTATTTCTTATGGTAACTACCAAGGGGACTAGACAGCTGGGTCCTCTGACCAGTGGATTTTCTCCCATTCAAGAAGCCAAAGTATTATCAGAAGGGTGTTTGGTGAACAGAATTACAGCAAATGGAGTTAATAATATGATTAAGATGTTTAGCCCCATCTGCCTTGAAGCATATGTTTCCTTGAAAAGGGTATACCTGTCATAGTAGAGCGCCAGTCCTTGAACAGGTCTTTCTCTTCCAAAAGCACTCAGATGGGCAGAGATAGGCTGCTCTCTTTACCATGTTTCTATGGATGGATGGAACAACCCCTCCTAATGATGGGATTAGCCCATTGCTTTGCTAGATTAATACAGTCTGGTAATATGCAAATGTTCCACTTGGTGACTGTGTATGTCTATTCTGATTCATTAAGGGTTCATGTGACTGTCACAGAAAGCAACCTACTTCTCTTTTTTTAAAATAATAAATTTATTTTTTACTGGTGTTCAATTTTCCAACATACAGAATAACACCCAGTGTTCATCCCATCAAGTGCCGCCCCCCAGTGCCCGTCACTTATTTCTGAGGGTTTTGTGGGCACTTCTCTGTAGTCCCCAAGCACTGACACTAGTCCCCACCAATGCTGCCCCCAATGATTTAAGACAACTAAAGAAAAAGGTCCTAAAAATTCTCATTCCAAAGCTAGTACATTCCAGTTTATGTGTTTGCCCGCCTATACCACATAATACCAGAAAAAAGTCCCCAAGAGCACCAGAGGGGTTCTTCACGAGGAAAAGGCAAAACCCTGAAGGCCACATCTGAACGAAGGCCATTTAACTGCCTATGGGCCACCCGGGAACAACTGAAATTCAATGGATACATACTAAGATGTGGTTATATGTCATCCTTGTGTTTTCAGAGAAAATCTACCAAGGAATGAAAAGCTCTGTGGTGATGTTCGAGACTGGGGTTGGGCATTCCTTCAAATGTGTGAGCGAACAGAGCATCCAGCTGTCAACCCACCTTCAAATGAAAACAATGAATGTCCAATTTCAAGCCTTTGATTTCGAAGATGACCACTTTGGTAATGGTAAGTCGAGTCTTCCTCATGTCACAAGCATAAACTTCAGAGACGCAGGGGGTAGTTTCAAGTTGTTATTTGTGTGTGAAGCTGTCAAAGGGACAAGGGTCACATGAGTTTCCGTGACAGTATGATTCCACAAAGCTTTTAGGGCCAAGTTTCTCTGTCCAACTTTCCATCCTGTCATTCCTTTGAGTCAATACCAATCTCAAAATCAGATACTTTAGGGAAGCCTGGGTGGCTCAGCAGTTAAGCACCTGCCTTCAGGTTAGGGTGTGATCCTGGAGTCCCCAGATCGAATCCCACATTGGGATCCCTGCATGGAGCCTGCTTCTCCCTCTGCCTGTGTCTCTGTCTCTCTGTCTTTCATGAATAAATAAATAAAATCTAAAAAAAAAATCAGCTACTTTAACTCATTCATATCCACCACTCTCGACAATAGGATGCATTCTCCTGGTAAAACCAAAACACATATCCTGCCTCCTCCAAATATACACACACACACATACTCAATCAAAAAGTCAGAAAATACCATCTGCAACTTTCCCTTTCCGAGCTGTTGAGTACTGGGAAACTCAGGTATATTTGGAAACTTTTAAGATCCTATTAGTAATATCTAAAACTCAAGATTTCAGAATAGATTCTTTCCCACTTGCAGAGAGAAAAGAGAAAATTGCAATAATTCAACATAGAAATATATACTCTATTGGGCTCCCTCTTCTCAATTCCCCTGACTAGAGCTTCCTTATAGTTGGTTTTAGTTTCTATGTAACTTCTGCTTTGAGTTCTATGCAACTTCTCCACAGAGAGAAGCAGGTTCTAGGCAGAAGGCCAGGGGCAGACCAAGGTGACTTTCTGAAAGTTTTTTTTTCCCTTCTGGGGAAACAGGTTATAAAGATTTCTATGAAAAAAAAAAAGATTTCTATGTATGTCTAGGAATTGAATTTCAGTTTCTAAAACCTTCCTCTCATAATAGCTAAAAACATTACGAGTACTTCTCAATTTTCATATATAGATTTAGCTAAAAGTTTAGCTGTATATTCCATTTCTGTAATGTGAACCCAACTTATCTTTGAGTTCCATTATAAAGTTGAAAATGTGCCTACAAAAATCTTCTGATATACTTGCTAGGAAGCATGGAACAGAGGAAGGATTAAAGTGTTGCTGGCCTCAGACCCCCTGATTTCTGTAGGTTTTGTCTGAATCTTGAAATCTCTGCCTCCATTTAGGACCTTTACCACAGTGCTAAGATAAAAATATTAAAAATTTCTTAGTAGGTGTGGCACCCACTTTGTCATCTGGTCTCAAAACATCCAACTTGAGGAAACTTAAAAATTCATGATGAAGGTTTGAAAAGCCTCTGTAATTAATCATGTGATCTTAAAAAATAAGGTACACACTTGCTCTTCCTCTACCTCTGAACCTCTGTGAAGCAGGAAGTGAGCAAGTAGGAAACCTTGTCATAGCAGAGATGAGAAATAAAACCTTTCAGCAACATACATCTGGCCTTAGCAGTGCCCACAGGGAAACATAGAAAAGATACCTTTTCATTTCATCCCCTCCCGTCCTTCCCCTTTCATATAATTCTCAACTTGCCACATTCTTAACCAATTTTTTCACCTTCATTTGTAGTCTGCCTCCTTCACATTTTTTTCCTACTTTGTCTCTATTCTTATTTGATTCTAGCCTATCCTTGTAATTTTGTTAATTTGGGCCATTATGACCAGGGGTCAAAGCATCCAAAGAATCAGGAATGGCAAACAGAAAGAATAGGTAGATCTACCCCAGATTATTATCCATTTTCCTTTTTTTCAAGGGGAGCAGCAGCGGGGAGGGAGAGAAGCAGACTCCCCACTGTGCAGGGAGCCCGACATGGGGCTCCATCCCAGGACCCTGAGATCATGACCTAAGCTGAAGGCACCACCCACTTTCCTTGTAAGCAAACATTTACCAAAAAAAAATCATAAGCCAGGGATTCCTGATTGGGAGAGATTGATAAGTGGAGGAAAATTCTATCAAATATAGCTTGCAATTTTTTTAAAGATTTTATTTATTTATTCATTAGAGACATGGTGAGAGAGGCAAAGACACAGGCAGAGGGAGAAGCAGGCTCCATGCACCGGGAGCCCGATGTGGGATTTGATCCCGGGTCTCCAGGATCGCGCCCTGGGCCAAAGGCAGGCGCCAAACTGCTGCGCCACCCAGGGATCCCCCTAAGATGTTTCGAGTGTTAGGACATTCCTGTTCCCTCCTTACAACAGGAGATGTTGAGGGAAATCTGGGCTGTGACCCGGTTTACCAGCAAGGGCTAGCCTTCGGAGAGATGCCGTGTCTCTCCATCTCCAGCAGGCCCTGCAACAGGTTCCTCTAGCAGGAATCAACCATCCCCCCCTCCAACTCCTGTTTCTAGCTCCACCTCGGGGGTAACTCAGAGGTCCTGTATCGCACCCAGCCATGACCATCCGGGAGAATGACTAAAGGAAGGTTACTGGTTTAGTGTGTGGAAATTTCTCCCACAGCACATGGGGAAAGAAGGGGAATTAAAATCAAGAAGAGAGGAATAAGGCAGTTCACTTAGGGGCGGGAGGCGGCCCTGGGCCCTTGGCATCCCCCGGAGCGGCCTCGGGGTCCAGGGGTGTGCGGCTTACTGCAGGGCGCTGCTGGGCACTCTCTGGGGTCTGCGGCAGGTGCTGGGCGCTCCCGGGAAGCGCTGCGGGGCCACCCCTGCGAGACTCCCCTGCAGGCCGCGCTTGCCCCTTGCCCTTAGCGCACCTGCTGCTTGCGGGTCCTGCAGGTCTAGACCCCCATTTTTCTCTTCCGTGGAGGGTGGAGCATCCTGAATTCACCCCTCCCTCTGCAACCCACCTAGAGAGAATAGAAACCTTCACGAATGCTCACCTGGAGAGAACCTAGCCATTGTTAATTTTGATATATTTCCCTCACATGCATATTTTACAAACCGGAGCATACAGAGAACCCGGTTTGGAATCCTTTCTTACCTGTGCATCATAAGCATTTCTCTGTGCAAAGGTGCAAAGTGTCATTATTATGGCTGCTATCATGAATATGCTATGAACAGTATATAATAATATACTTACTGAGTTGTTGAGAATTTTTATTGTTTCTAGGTTTTCACAAATGTGTTGTGATTAAAGAATTATGTATGAATTTCAAAACAGACATTGATTAGCGAATGTGTATAAATGTGTGTCTGAATTTTGGTTTTGCCTCATTAACTGTTTAAAATGGTTATGATTTATTCTGCAGTACTGATTCTTAATTTTTAAGAAAAAAATGGAAACAGGAAATACATGAAGATGGTTTAAGTTTTTCTTTTAAATATTATAGAAACATATGAAATGAAAAAGTAGAGTTAAAATAGGGACTAGAGGGGATCCCTGGGTGGCTCAGTGGTTTAGCGCCTGCCTTAGGCCCAGGTCGTGATCCTGGAGTCCCGGGATCGAGTCCCACATCAGGCTGCCTGCATGGAGCCTGCTTCTCCCTCTGCCTGTGTCTCTGCCTCTCTGTGTGTGTGTGTCTCTCATGAATGAATAAATTTTTTTAAAAAATCTTAAAAAAAATAGGGACTAGAATTTTCCTTCCTCATTATCTAATGGGGGGAGGGGCGAGGAAGAATGTTTAAAATCACCAGTAGCAGTGGAGATACAATCTATTGCGATTACCTTTTAAAACTGGTGAACAAAAAAGAAACAAGATTCAGAAGAACAGTTGAGTGGACAGCATAGCTGGGCTCTGGGCACCTGCTTCCCCCCACCACACTCACCAGGAAGCCATATGATGAGAGAAAAAAGAAATCTTATGGACGCTTACTACCATTCCTAAAAAAACTGGAGGGAAATAGACGGTCGTTTTTATCTCTTCTCATCTAGGAGTAGTGAAAATGGGTACTGTGAAGAGGCAGAGTCAACACAGAGACTGATGGAAGTGAACTGGGGAGCCAACCCCAGATCACAGGTTACACCCAGGCTATAGCTAATTCTCAAGGTACAAAAAAGAAGATAGAATCCAAATAGGTTGCTCAATGGGAAACATTAACTGATCTCAGACATAATGGGCAGAAAGGCCCTAATTTACCCAAATGATATTGAAGGAAATGCAATGTCATGGATAAGATGCTTAAGAGTGAGCAAGATTAGGGTTGTGAGCAAGATCTTGGGTAGAGATTACTTAAAAATAAAATATAGCAAAATATATAAATTTTCTGCAGCAAAATATATAAAAATAATATGATTAGATCAAAATATGGCTATAGAGTTTTAGTTTTGCAAAATGAAAAATGTTCTGAAAATGGATAGTGGTTGCACAAAAATGTGAATGTATTTATTGAAGTGTATACTTAAAATAGTTAAAATGGTAATTTTTATGTCTCTCTTACCACAATTAAAGGAGAGTTAGAAAGGAACATAGTTGACAAAATGCAAAGAAAACATAACTTTAGGAATGGAGAGAAGTCCCTGACAATTGGTTTTTGCTGAGTATCAGTTAATAAGAGTGTGAATTCCATATAAGGAGAAATCATGGATGAAGTATTATAATGAAAGAGTGAGGTGAATGGGAGATTTCACTCCTACAAGTGAACACTTTGAGTATCAAAGCAACACCTAATAATAAATAGAAATAGTAAGAGGCAGAAGCAGTAGAGCTGAAATATAAATTATCTTCATAGAGAAAATAACTGAAATCAGCAGTTAATGGAGATAAAAATTAAAATTATGAAATTATAGGGCAGGTGCTAGGTATGGAAGATATTCAGATCATCTAAAGTAAGGATAATTGGTGCCTCTGAAATAGAGAGTTAAAAATAGAAGAAAGATAAACTTGATGGTTTCAGAAATTTTCCTTAAGATAAATTATTGAAGTTTGTCCCAGGAAAAAAAAGAGCATAGTGTGTCCCAGGGGGGAAAAAAAAACTGACACAGAAAGTTTAGTATTGAGATACATCCAAACTAAGCTATAGAACTTTAAAGATAATTCCTTAGACATATGAA